TAGAAACGAGGTGTATTTAATGAAAAGCAATAACGATCAAATGTTTGTACGTATATGAACGAACGTCTATGTCGACATCTTGGACCATGGACACCATAAGTGTAGCTCTGTACCCGGATGTCGACCAGCCTTTCAAATTTTAGTGGGGGTGGTGAGGGTTACACATAGTCCGTTAATAGAATATAAGGATCCGAAACATGGTTGAAACAGTTTCAAGTATTCTGCTTTGACATTAATCAAGAACCATAATAGTTACAGATGTCGAAATGTCATAATGTGGCCCTACCTGCTTTTCTAATGTTCGGAGGTCTATGTGAGGTCAAGCCAACCACCAGTGAAAAGCTTTAATACAGATATGATAACAAATGCAAACTCAGTAATAATACTTAGTGCACGAAGAAGTATAAAAAGTGAGTTAATTGTTCCAGTTATTTTTTGTGATTATCCGAATGTATATATTTGTACAAGTGCAATCCACGTTTAGTGTGAAAGTAGTTTCTAAGACATTTGTCATCACTAGACACCAATGGCGCAGTAATGTGACCAGAGGGTTCAAATACTTAGGGCAGTAGATATCGCTGTCATTGGTTTGGGCACAAAGTTGGGAGTCGTTTTCATACCTTTTCCCATCACTACTATTTAAGCTTCATGGGTGATTCTAAACTACAGAAGCCCAAAACGAAACTACCCCTAGCGACCAATCAGATTCATAAGAAGTAGAAGTGCGCAATTTGAAATAAACGTCTACATATAATTAATGCAATGTTAGAAAATGGTTACATATGATAATATTCTTGTCTATGTTCCAAAAACCCTCCCAGTTTCTCACGGGAGCCCTCGTTGTCAGGTTAGACCAATTTCTGTAAATAAATTCATCAAGGTCATCAATCCGTTCATTAGGTAGTCTCATTTTGAGCTGCTATAGTCTAGAGTCACCACGTCATAGGCTCAAATAAAACAGTTTTTAAAGAAATGATCAGGTAAACAAATAGGTTCCTTCATTTCTCCACTACTATACAGACTTGTCGTTGAGAGGTTATATGCTTATGTTAGTAAGGCTACGGCGTCGGTGGGGCAGCGGCAGAATGTTCGCAAACCACGCCTCATAAGGTTCGGGGTTCAATCCTTGGCCGACGTACTCCTTTAACTCGCTAAGGTTGGTAGAGAGGGAAAGTTGAGCATGAGGCTAACAACCCTGTTTTGTAAAAATAAACATCACTGCTACAGAAGCTTCAAGTCCCTGGCTTGAGGCCTCATTTTCTACTGAGAATGTGAAGGGATAAAAAAAGAAAAAGTAAGGCTATTGTGTTTTAGCTAGTACTATTGTGCAATAGTAGCGGTATATATAATTGTAATAAACACATATTTCGTACCAGTACTAATTAGTAAGTGGGCATCATATGGTTTGCTGTAAGTGTTCGTAAACGAATATCGAAATCACGCAGGCTTATTGGTTTCCTATTCAGGAAGTGTACCTAGAATACTACTGTGCAAGGTTTGTGTGCGCCCATTTCTAGATTACTGCTCATTCACATTTAGTAGTATACGCATGGAAGACAAACTGAAAGTAGAAGTAGTACAGAGGTACTTCACGCTAAAAGTACTCGGATCCGAAAACGGCACAAACTACTCTACCAGATGTGGAATCCTAGGACTAGAAACATTACGGTTAAGACGACTGCAACTAAGTCTGGTACATTTCTATAAGCTTCTCAACCATATAGTGTATAACCCTGCTAATTGTACTCGGTTTTCAGAAGACATTGGATATAACCTTAGACACACTAAAGGAGTTTGCAAGTGATACCAATGCTAATTCCCATGTAAGAGCTTCAGAAATCATAGGCCCATTTAATGTATGAACTTAGAGACTACACCTGTTGTTTCTTTTGCATCTATTTATAATTTCAGACAAAAAGCAGCAGTCACGACAAAAGCACTCATGCAAATAAGAGTCGATCGAATAATGTCTACCTGGTACCAAGGATGAACAATAACCGAAATACGAATGAAATATGAGAAAACAAGGTCGAAACTTACCATAACATAACATGGAAAGATATAAATTACTTGGACATCATTTATAATCTACTTACTGGTCTACTTTCCGAAAAGAATGAGGTGATGCTCTGTCCACGGTGCCGTGGAATTACATAAATCCACAGTTCCCGTTGTAAGTACTTAGTGGAGGTAGCAGTCAACGAAGCAATGCATTTAATGCATACGTATACTTCCCATGATCACGGCGACACTTCGCGGAATATGTCAAAATCGTAGTGTTGTAGTGACCCTTTTTATTACTCACCATCGTAGTATACTTCCACTATGAAATTGGACTTTGATTTGTTTATCACTCTAAAGATTGCGTGTTAACAATTGATACATTTGTACTCGCTCAACTCTTGAATTTTAATTACGGCTATAATACACGTTCGTACTCCTTCTCAACTGCCTTTTGATTTACGTTGTGGATGTCGAGTAATCACAACGTAAGGACACAATAATAAACGCGAAGAAGTACTAGGATATACGTGTAGGTTAGTTTGGTCAAACAAAGCACCACAACAGAGAAATCAAACCCTACACGAGATGTGATTAACTAAATCCGAACGGCAAACAAGTTGTTGTACGCATCTGGATATTCATCCACATGTCGATCATGATGACAAATCCAAATCTCTACCTATACAGCGCCAATAAACCTGGATATCAAAGAAGTAACGAAAATATGCTGACAGATGCATTTCAGATCCCACTGACTCATTCGATGTTAATATTCGGCTCCTGCATGCTTCATTCGGCATTTCGGATGGATTGGTTCGCAGTCATTCTGGTTCCAGACCGAAAAGAACCAAAAATCCACCGGTTGCTGAATCATTAATACTTCTCTGCATGTTTCACTGGATACTAACTGCTGTGATGAGCCTCTTGCAGGTTGCTCAAAACATCGTTTACGGTGAACCAGCTAACATTTTATAAGCCATTTTTATACTTTTGTGAGTAGCCCACCATATCGACCAAATGTAACGCAACACTCAGTTGTTACGCTCATTTTCCACAAATTCAAACAATAATGGTGTCTAGGATTATGCCATATAAACTGTTTTAACTTATGCAAAGCGTGCTTACTGTCATTATTCCATTACCTTTCCTTTTATATATATTCGGTATCAGTAAAAACTGTAAACATGCTTACTCCTTGTATACATTATTATCATATTGATAATGGTTGTTAACTGGAGTCCCTCATGTGCATAAACTGAGAATATATTATTACAAGATCCATTTCATTGCTATATGAGGGAAATCACTTCAAGCTTTATTTTTCCCCAAGTATCTGTAATCCATTCAACACATACCAGGGTTTTTGTTAATGCGAAGTCAATATTTCTTGATGTGCTCCATTGAATCACTAGTTATCAGATTGTTCCTACAAACTAAAGACAAAATGACAGCAACTACGTAATTTCACCGTAAACCAAATTTGTGCAATTTATATGATACCTATTCATGCCTGTACAATTGGTTTGTCCTACTTAGGTAGGAATAAATATGTACGTTATTATATTATCATTACTAAATATGCTTACTAATCGTATCTGTAATTTATCGTATTGACGATGGCTATGTACAAAGAATGAGAATATATTATTATTATGTTTGAGGTTTGGTTTATTAAAGTGAGAAAAATATATAGAAGTTCAGTTATGCTTGCCATATATGTATACAGCTAACAGCAAGGAATCAGCACTGATTCAGTAATCCCGGGCGGAGCTTGGAATGCTCTAAAATGAGCTTCATACAAAACTGAGAAAATTATGTGGCAAAACACTTGAGAATTTAAGGAGCATGTTGCATCCATGAATACAGAGGAGCTGTAAATGTAAAGCTCTTCTGCATGTTAAGGACATTCGACTTGTAACTATTTGTAACAGTGTGATGGTTTGGTACAGACACAAATTAAGCATTTACATGATCGACATACAGTTTGTACAGGCATGATCATATTTAAGAAGTGCAATTTTAGATTGAACACTGATTTATTACATAAAAATGGAAAAAACTCTAGAAACTTAATGGAAATTTGCAATAAGTTATAAGTTTAAGTCTAAATTTTAATCGTTAATATACTTATAGTCAGTCAACTTCGCGCGGGAATTACGAAAGCTTGCGTAAATGGAGGGTAATGTAATGAGATAAAAACCAGCATAATGCCACTAAATAAGTCTTCTTCCTCTTCTTTTTCAAAAAGAAACGCTGACGTAGCTCTACTGGAGCGAGAAGAGGATCGTCTGACTGGGCTTGTCATAAATGATGACAATTAGCTATGTACCCGCTTGTTGTTTTTTTCTCAGTGAAGCCTTCAGTTTCGCTTGAGTAAGACCAAATGTAGAATTCTGTACACAAGTTCAAATTGAAACACCATTCGCCAAGCAAAGATAGAGAAAAACGAGATTTAGAAGAGATACAATGAGCAAAAATTTACAAGCAAAAGAATAATTACATCGGAAAACATGGAACTGGGTGTGATCATAAAGAATGAATGCATCTGCGCCAACAGTTTGAAGTCATTACTTCTAAGCATTTCCAGGACCTCCGGCCAAACAGTCTACATTCGCCTACATCTCTGGATCAAACCAAAAGTTAAAAACTTGATGAACGGATTCCATGTTTTGACTTATCTACACCCGTGCCTCTTTTCCAACTTAATTCAACGGTTCAGGTATTCCAGGCATTAAAAGTATTTATGAGTCAGAAGACTGAATAATATTTCCATACAAAATTTATTTCAAATACAAAGAAAAACGATGGATATATTTCATTCCTAAAAATGAACATTTATACATGAAATGACAGAAAAATTATCAAAATATTTTCAAAAAAGTAGGTAATAACACCGGGAAATCTCAGGTATAAAGTTAAACATTGAAAATTTACAAACAAAAAATGTTGTCTAAGAAGTCTGTCTTTCTCGAAAAAAATGAAATTCAACAATTTACAACTGGATACCACACATCACTTCTTCTTTGTGTGATCGATACTCTGACAAAAGTTCAGGTAATGCTGCATTACAATCAAAAACCTGTAATAAGTAAACAAACAAAAATTATACATGGTTTATATGAAGTAGCCGAGATAATATTTAATTTGAGTTGCTTTATAACTGTGACCAGAAAAGACCACTGTTATTCATCTACAGAGGACTTCAACACATGACAATTATATTGTGCTGGTGTGATACAGACAATGTATGCCAACGGAATATTATTCTCACATATTCCCACAGTTCAATTCGGTATTAGCAACAGAATACCAAATGTCTATTTGAACATTCTGTTTATCGCTAGAGTTAGAATACTTTTCTTCCAGTTATATACCGCATTAGCAACGGAGTATTGTGTTTCATGTCCTTTGATGTGAACCGAAATCATACGATCAGTGATTGGTTAAAGAAGACAAAGTGTATATATATATATAAACAGCGGTTTGATCAACGAAAAAGATACCTTGGCTTCCGCGTCTTGCCTTCTGCTGTTACAATATAACTGACTACTCGAATATAGTTCTCAAACAGTGAGAAGGCGAAGGACTAGTTTAACATATCACAAAATGTGACCTGTTTGATAATGCGAGTGGTAATCACGAAAGCAATTGAGACAGAATGCCTCCACATACTGCTGACCGATTGATATGAGTAGTTGAACCTTTCGGTTACAAGGCAACCATTTAACCACTGGGAAACGACCCGGTGGGTGCGTACTGATGAAGAGTTCCAAACAAGGACGAAACAGTTGTCCAATACTCCCAGGTTTTTCAATGGTTTTCTAACCGATGTCAGTTTAACCAATCAAATTCCTGCAAGTCAACACTTGAACATTACAGTGCTCGCTAGACAGATCAAATGGATACAACCCCAGGACAGTCATTTCTCCTGTTCTGAGTCAGGCCCTTATCTCAAACTGTGTGTAATTTGTAAATCGCGAACTCCATTCTACGTACTATCAATTCACCACGATAGATAGCCGAAATTCAGTTGGTATGAACTGATTTAGCTCTCTGAGCTGAGTACACGGTCGATAGGCTCGACCACAAGCGAACGAAATGGCTACCCGGCGTTCACATTACTTCTGCTGGCTAGAAAACACTACTGATTGATGTGGGAGGTTTCCAAGTACTCACAAGAATCAATCAGTAGAATGTAACATCATGGTATTTTACATATCTTAATGGGGAATTCTTATTTTCCCCTGATCATATCTTGCAACCAGTCGATTTACACTAGAATGAGCCAAACAGGTAACAGGTTACTTAAGTATTTATGGCTTAAGAGATGCAGATTTTAGATATAGAGACCGTCTACTTTGTTAATCACCAAACACGTTCATGTCTCTACTTAGACAAAACGGTAAGATGTAATTTATCTGAAACGTGTAATCTCTATTCGCGTGACATATTTAAGATATTCTGACCATATGCACACTTTCATAACATGTTTATATTAAAAGACAACAAAGCATAAAGGATTAAAGCTCTTTTTTTATCAAATTAGGTCAAGATGTTTGCTGGTGACGATCACACATAAGAAATTGTGGAAAACAGAAGGGGAGGGGTTGGAAAGTGAAAACATTATTAAGTCAAATAAACCTTAGTTTTAAAATCCGATTACCAAGTTGGGTTCAAAGGAATACTAAATACTTTTAAAACATACGAAACAGGTTTAAACCTTTTTATGGATACAACTTCAAAGAAGTTAAATATATGACCCAACACTGTTTTACGGATGGGTTTAAATGCACTAAGAAAATCAACTTTATAACTTATCTCTATGATATGCTTTGCGACAGATAACTCTGTATATATATTTCTGAAGTTAATTGAATCAGGTGATTTTATTAGTTCTTGAAGTCACTTAGAGGAATGTATAATGTATCTGTGACTCGCAAAGATAGATGAGTCATCTCTATGCGCGTGTGACCACACAATACAATGTGACACTACTGTTTAAATGAATCTAAAATTCATAAAGCGGACGAAGTGTCATTATTATTTAAATTATTACAGTCAGTTGTTAGAATAGATGTATCTTATACAAAAAGAAAATAGATGAATAAGAGCGGATTTAACATATTCAGAGTTATGAGTGTGTTACTAAGATTACTTAATATTCGCAGTTTATTAAGGGCAATAACAAACTTCAACATTCAAGCGATGTCACCTATTTAGATTCACTCTAAATAAATTTTGATTCAGTATAGGTGTTTAAAGTTAAGGCTGCTGCTGCTGGATTCAACATAGAACTTGGCACCGAAGTGCAGCAGTTCGAGTTGCCACGTTCCAAAATAGCACACAAAGGTAGACAGGAAAAGGAAAGAAGAGAATCAATTGAATTTAGATAAGTATAAGAGTGAAACAGAATGAGTAATGGTAGAAAGGAATATGAAGGTTAAAGAGACTGAATACATCTGCGCCATTGACAACGATTTTGAGCCATGTCACCTATTGTCTCCAGCCATTGATTCTTAGAGTTAAAGGAGAGTTAAGGAGAGAATTTCATCATCTCTGAAAACATTCTTCGCAGCAACAAAAAGAGTAGGGTTCCCCCAGTCATCCACTTGTCTCCAGGAGTTTGAGGGATTAAGTCTCGCGCATCTGATCAATTCTGTATGCATATATCAGTTTACCTGTTCCTGTGAAGCCAGGTACATTGGTTGTTCAACGTGCATCCTGTCTGAAAGAGTTCAAGAACATTATCCCGCAAAGTTGCAGTGGCTCTACAAGGAATGCAATAATTGAACACACTGTCAACACTGGTCATTCCATCTCAAGAAATTCATTCTTCGGAGTAACCTACAAAGTGAAGAACAACCTGCCCAAGACAATACGCTTTCGTATCCCTTGCATCACTGAAGCCTTAGCCACTCAGATGGAAAAACCGGTGTTCTGCACACAAAAGGAAATTATCCAACTATATATATATAATATATATACAGTGGTAACATCTTTGTTGTTTTCTACTGTTATAACTGTAGGGGAATTAAATGAGGTCGTTGTCGCCTTGTTCTTTCTGCGCCTGACTAATATGCCTATCTGCTTCTGGTACCTTCCGATTCAGCGAACCACGCAAATATCAAAAGACAAAGTCTGGTCTGTGACTGTGTATTGTAGTACAACAACTACGACAAACTACGACGACGACGACAAAGAAACTTATTTAGGAAATGGTATTTATACAATTTTACAAACAATAGAGACAGCTAACAGTATTTGAAATAATTGGTCGTAATAGTCAATAGCAAAATGTGTGGGAATGATGATATACCACTTATGCGAGATTAACAGTCATTAAGATAATTGAACAATGACAAAGTGCCTGGGAAATGATAATATAACACATATGCGAGATTAAGAGTCATTAAGATAATTGAACAATAACAAAGTGCCTGGGAAATGATAATATAACACATATGCGAGATTAACAGTCGTTAAAATAATTGAACAATAACAAAGTGTGTGGGATCCTATCATCTACCAACTAGATTTTGTTTGGTGACAGGATTTTATCATGAGCTGACATTGGTTAGAGAACCATTGGAAAACCTGCCATGGAGTACTGGACAGCTGTTTCGTCCTAGTTTGGGACTCTTCAGCAACACGCACCTACCGGGATTCGAACCCAGGACCTTTTGGTTACAAGGTGAGAGCGTAGACCATTAAGCCACTGGGACCCGATCCAATGGTCCTTGAATTCTAACTTCTGCCAATTCACGACATAGCGCAACCGCTAGCCAATGTCTTTGGCGAGTATTTGTCCTCACATCCGACCTGCTGCACCCTACTGGTCACGACTTCCCACTAGAACCCCAGGTAACTACCGATCTGAATAGGGCTGTCTGTCTGTCTGTCTGTTTTCGACATAGAACTTTGCACATATGTGCGGCAGTTCAAGTCGCCACAATCCATGTAGCACGCAAGGCAAGTCTGAATAGGGCTAGTCGCCAGTGAGCATCTCATTGATATTCAAGCATTGGTTTGTAGGGATTTGGTTGATTGGTTACAGGACTTCATCATGAGCTGACAGCGGTTAGAGAGAGAACCATTGGAGAACCCGGCGACTGCATACTGACGAAGAGTCCCAAACTAGGACGAAACAGCTATCCAGTTCTCCCCAACCAGTCAAGAAGTTTACACCTCCTTACGTGGTGTAGACTAACTGTTGTGCATTTCACTGACTGGTTCCAAGTTTTGGTTTGACCACCACTAGCTCTTTTCCAACCTGATCCTATGTGACGTTACATTGCTCGTCGAGGTAGGCGATGGATGGGTAGGCATGCGTAACACATGTCCTAACCATCTCAATCGATGTAGCTTCACAACCTCGTCGATTGATTTCTCCTCATTACCCAGGACTGGACTGAAGCCTAACCTCAATATCAGCCACCCTATAAAACCATCTAATATGGGAGATAAAACACAGGCACCTATGATCAAGCACAGCTAGGCTTTTCATATCTCGCACTTTCAACAGCCATGTCTCACAGTCATAAAGAAATACGGAGCGTACTGGTTCTGTGCTACACATGTTCTTTGATTGAGGTGTTCAGAAGACGATGCAATTTGTCAGCGTCCTCACCTAGAAGGACTATATCATCTGCATATTCTAAGTCAACGAGATTATTCCCTGGTAGCCAGTCAATCCCTGAGTCTCTGAAGTCAGTAGTTAGGGTTAATTCCATTAGCACATCTGTGATGAAATTAAACAGAAATGGGGACAGTGGGCATCCCTCCTGACGGACTCAAGTGGTTGTCACCAAATCAGATGACAAGTTTCCGTAGGCTCTCACCTCGCTGCATTAGTTCGACTAGAGTGCCTTGATTAGTGTGCAATGTATTTTCCCTTCACGGCCAAACATCGCCACAGTACCTCTCCGTCGATGGAATTCAGGGTCAGTTAGACCATCGGAATATAAGGATTTAGCTATATGGCGTTGCCTAAACAAAAGCTCAGTCATTGCAATGCATTCACTTGCATGTAGTCACACAATTGTGTGGGACAGAATAAAAGTGATAAGAAGCAATATAGTTAGGTTAAGATAGAGACAGAGAAAGGTTGTCCACCGGATCTTTGCTCACCCAATAGTTAACGCCAAACACACTTGTAATCTATATGACGCAACGCTTATACCGGATATAAGGAAAATTGTAACAAAGAACAGAGTGGGAGTGAAAGTATATAAGGCAAGTCATAAAGTCGTGTGAACTCGTCGATATCAGCATGAGCAGTAAGTTGTGCTGGAAACAACACAAGTTACTATTACTGTCTAACTAAAATGAATGTCATACATCCAGTTCTCTTTGTTAATTTGAATAAAGAAAGAACGAACATACTTACAGGATAGTAAGAGCTCGTTTTATTTCACGGATTCTCTTCAACCGCGTACATCCTAAAAGAATGTTATTTATTTAATAATTTTATGATAGAGTTTGTTGTTGGACACACACATACACAATTTAACGTGGTATATGATATAAGTAATGAACCAAATCATTCAGTAGTATTCAACATTCAATTATTTTATAAAAAATTATTCATATGTCAACTGTGAGCCACTGATCAAGCACACGGTAAATAATAAAGTGTTAAAACAAGAGGAGACATGATGATCCAGTGTTTCTCACATGATCTATAAAGCAAAGGTTTGACCTTCACATAGATTAAAGGTCATATCGTTATTTTTATGGGTATATTTTAACCAGTCAAAACACAGTTCTTATTATATCTTAAACTGATGATTTATTGGACATGTGAAATAATTGTATATTCGGTGACTGTAATTTCTAGTCGTACTGCATTTTTCCATAAAGCAATAAAACCTTGATTACTATTCTAGTTAGCCTTCTGCACCTTTTTCAGTGTGGGAATAGTCAGTCGTACACAGTTGTGTGTTGACGTAGGAAGGCACCCAAATCCAGTATCTATCACCAAGACAACATGTAGTTAAGATTACCTTTACACCTTTATGATAAGATAATATAATAAACACCATTTTAGACTGAATGACTGAGAGTCTAAACGTAGAGCTCTGTACAAAATTGCAGGAGTTAAAGTTGTCACACTTCATATACTATACACAGGTAGAAGAAAGAAAAACAAAAATTCGAAAGAAATATAATACATGGAGGATTTCATCATGAGCTGACATCAGTTAGAGAACCACAGGAAAACCTGGGATTACTGAACAGCTGTTTCATCCCAATTTGTGACTCCTCAGCAGCACACACCCGCCGGGGTTTGAACCCAGGACCTTCTGGCTATATCGTGAATTGGCAGAAGTTAGAATTCATGCACTGGCTATTAGATCGTGTCCCAGTGGCTCAATGGTCTACGAGCTCGCCTTGTAACCAGAAGGTCCTGGGTTCAAACCCCGATGGGTGCGTGCTGATGAAGAGTCACAAACTAGGACGAAACAGCTGTTCAGTACTCCCAGGTTTTCCAGTGGTTTTTCTAACTGATGTCAGCTCATTATGAAATCCTCCATGCAATCAAACAAAATCCCTACAAAAGCAATACTTGAGAAATATAATGAGTAGAAATGTACGTGAGAAAGAAGAGTAAAGTGGAAAAACATGAAAATGAAAGCATCTGCGCCATTTAGAACGATTTTGAGCTATATCACTAACATTCTCAAGCCAATGTTTCTTAGAGTTCCGAGGAAACCAACTAGACAGTCTACAGCTCTTTATGTAGATAGCTGAAAATAACTGTCAAAGACTTGACAACAGGTTCTGCCTTCATCACTCCTAGCCCTTTTCCAACATAATTATATGTCTGGTAACATTGATCATCAATGAAGGTAGTAGCTCAGCAAGTGTAACACGTGTCCTAGCCACTTCAATCAACGTAGACTAACAAGCATATAGATTGATATCAAAATTAAATATTCATTTGTGTTTTATTAAACTGAGAAGCATAATAAAACGATAAAATTAGGCGGTAGATAAAACAAAGATTCATCAATGAAAATTAATTCAAATGTCTACAAAATATATAAAAGAGAAAACATCTCTATAAAACTTACTAATAACGGAGCAGGGAGTGGTCCAAAACGTCGTTCTATTAACCAGGATTCATGAAGTTTATGCAATTCTTCCAAGTATTCCTGTAGAAATCAAGGATATGTTCACACTTTAAAGGCACAGTATTGAATATTGCCTGAGACCTAATTCTAGAGTGTAGTATATTCTATGAAAATTTATTGTTAAAATTGAAATACCTTGAACTTTTAATAAGTGATACACTACACCTAGTAAAATATCACAGAAAAATAAACCAAGTTACTGGTTTCAACTAAGATTTTACCATGTACAGACGTCAATTAGAAAATGAGAGAGTGCAGGCATCGTGTTGGCAGTACGCACCCATAAAACCACCAGTGATCGAACTAAGAATCTGCAGACTATGAGTTGAGTACGTTGTATAATTCAACCACTAGTGCAGAATCCAATAGTCTATAAATTCTAAATTCAGTAATTATGAAGAATAGCAACCAGTATCAACGACCTGTCAAACGATCCTGAAAAACCAAATAGAATGTTCCATATTTAGCTGCTTTTGTATCCAAGAACGGTTCTTTGGCGATCTTTCTTCAGTTAGAATAAGGTTTAGAATTATATATGTCCAAACCAAGTTCACCTTCAACAGTTTGAAAAAATTTAGGCATTGAGTATATGATATTCATTATAATAAAGGTTTTTGTATTTCCCAATGAATGAAAAACAAAACGATATTGTTGCTCTTACTGACGTTTCGCTTTTTAATGCTAATAGCTTTATCAAAGCATTATTAAACCTGGATTTACAAAATCTCAGCATTTGTGTAACAAAGAGTTAAGAGGTGAGAAAATAGACTTAGGTCAAGTTAAAAGAACATATTGATCTTCATTGTTATTTTGACCTTCAATATGTCCTTTTAACTTGACCTAAGTCTATTTTCTCACCTCTTAACTCTTTGTTACACAAATGCTGAGATTTTGTAAATCCGGGTTTAATAATACTTTGATAAAGCTATTAGCATTAAAAAGCGAAACGTCAGTAAGAGCAACAATATCGTTTTGTTTTCCATTCATTGAGAAATACAAAAACCTTTATTATAATGAAGGTCTAGGATTGGCTCACAATCAGGATGATTGTTTGATTCGGGTTAGATTTAGAATTAGTATTCAGTAAAGGTGCGTCGGTGGCATAGCGGTTAGGGCGCTCGCCGACCATGTACATGGTTCGGGGTTCGATCCCCAGCCGACGCACTCCTTTACCTCGCCAAATCAGAACTAAAAAGCTAGTGAAGAGTAAAGGTTGGGCATGAGGCTAGCAACCCCATCCTGTAAAAACAAACACCACAGCTACAGAAACTTCAAGCCACTAGCTTGAAGCCCTATGTTCCACTGGGAACGTGTAGGAATAAAAAAAAATTCAGTAAAGGTTAGAACTAAGGGTTATATTTACGGTAGCACTTAAGGTTATTCTTAGGTCAAAGTTAAGGTAGGTGTTCAGGGATAAGAGCCGTTTACTGTCCATTAAACTAAAACCTACATTTCACAGAATGTTAAAGATTGTTACCCTAATTAATTTCATTATTTGTTGATTTATTCGTCTTAAATATATTTTAATAATCGGTAATACTTTCCTATTATGTCACTTTTATGATTGGTTTCTCAGGGTTATTTAACAAATCAATAAGTTCATTTGTAATTCTTTATAGTTGCCCTAACACCTTTAAATTCTCAATATACAGCGCGAACGTCATCCAAAATCGTTGGCAAACCAGTCAGTCACAATAATGAGCAGTTGAGTAGTTTTCAAAATTTGGTTTCTATTGATTTAATTAAATTTCGCATCAGATTTCATCGCTTGTAATTTCACACTGATTCATCTTGATACTTATTTATGTAGTCTGCTATTTTCAGTATTCAATCCTTTAACGAATAAAGGATGAATAAAAAATCAACTAATCGACTACACAGTAGATTAGGTCACTAACTGATATCCGTCAAGAAAAACAAGAAAAGAAACGTAACAACTATTCCTAAAATTTATCTAAGAATCTTCAACAGTAGGTATCAGCAACCCTAGCATAGATAAATAGACATCACGATACCATCAACTCTTCTGGTACACATTAAAAAAAACACTATCATATGAGAGAAAAGAACAAGAAGCTCAGCAAAAATGTCTTTTCTGCGATGTTATCCTCATAAGCCGTACAATCGTATTTTCATACATAACTTCACATAATTACAATTATTATATTTAGCTCACTTAATTTTTTTCATTCCCTCCATTTTTCATCGTCAGTTAGACGAATTATCACTTTGATTTCTTGTTCCTATGTACACCTTTTTCACACATGTCTTCGTTAAAAAAACTATTTTACACATAACGCAATTAGTTTTTTTTTAAAATCCTGTATTGTTTTCGTTTCTAAACTCCTTGTGATTGACATTCATCTTTCATTACTTCCACAAGCTTTTGTATCAAGTTTAAAATAATTATCTCTTTTAATTTCATTTTGTTACTATTCTGAATTAAATGCGCAATAACTGTGAATATATGTATAAAAATGCGATTGTACATCTTTTCAGAATGAAATCACTAAAAAATATCTATGCTGAACTTCTTGTCCTTTGACCTCTAATGTTCTCATGGGTGTATTTTCCACCTCAGAATTTATCTAGTCCACGGGAATCCAGTAAAACATATTTCCAAACCTTTCGTTTATCGAAAATATTTTCTCGACGGAAATAAACCGAAGGCATTATAAGAATTCTCCCTCCGGCTAAATACGATCTATCTCGGCATCAATTCCTCGCTGCTGCTAAAAAGACTTATTATACAGCTAATATCATTAAAATTGAGAATGTGAAGCCATTATATATATCTAAGCCCTTTGAACATGCGAAAAATGATGTCACATCCCACTGTATTTACCTATTTGAATGTACGTTTGCACACACATACATATGGAGGACTCATCGATCTCTGCAAGTAAGGGCTTCAAAGCATATTGGTAAATGGCTCCAGAAACAAATGGAATCCCCGGAACCTACTAATGGTGAGAACAAACGAAGACCCAGCTCCTCTATTGCGAAACATATTATAGAGACAGTACATAAAATTGACGTCAACAGATCTTTTAAACCTATCTATAAAACGTGTTTGGGGCGTATCCTAAAGTTTGTGGAAGCCATAGCTGGCAATTAGGAAGTTTAAACCACCTCTATGTGTACAAAAACAATTCGTCATCACATTAAACCTTCTTTGTTAAATTTTGTTTTGATACCATAGCAGATGTACTATTACCTCTGCTATTTGGTTTAGTGGTCTTCATTGTTATTTTGACCTTGAATATGTCCTTTTAACTTGACCTAAGTCTATTTGCTCACCTCTTATCTCTTTATTGATTTAATATAGATTCCTATGACAAGTCCTTGGGTGTGATCAGTGTTCGAAATGTGTTGCGCAGATGCACATTACACGATTCAGACAAATTACGTCTTCTTATTGCTTTATCTAAATTCATAAAGGGAACTAATTGTTTTAAATCAATTTATTCATATATTCTGCTCATTCTCCTTTATTATTCATCCTTATTCTTCTTTGGACTTCACAAAAAAAGCTATATCATCATATTGCGTAGGAAAGTGAAGGCTGTAAGTAGGGTTAGTAGTATGCCTTAGACTCAACTAAGTGACATTGTTGTTGATAGGTATTTTGTAAGCAATTGGCTAAAGTTATCTTGTCTGATTCCAAACATCCTCTTTATTCACAACTTTTTCCTTGTCTATCTTCGGGTAAAACTAGAAGAAACTTCACAAGAATTTATGCTCGTACAGTTAAATATAAATATTCAACCAGGCCATATCTAGCACGGGTTTCTGTGTGGACAGTCAAATATCAGAAAAGAACTCATAAACTTTTTAAATCATTAACTGAACTGAAAAGTATGAGCAAAGATTATTATTACAAATATTATATATTATATTATTTATTTGTGATTCATTATGTTCCATAAACTTTAAGGTTTTTTGTGATTTTATTATTTTTTAAAAATTGTATGCACCTACTTATTTATAAAACGAGTAATATTGTTGCAATATGCATAAAATACTCTTAAGTCTATTCTGTATAATTTCTACTAATTGAAGTTATTGTTACTATTATATTTACTGAGAGTTCAAAATAAACGGTCTCGTACAAAGATATATACCATTTCACCCTTAACAAAGTCAACTGGTAAATCAATACGGACAAAACTATTGCAGCACGTGTTACTGACAAGATTTATCAGTAGTATATATGAAGAAACGTTCACCGGCACAAAAACGTCTAATAACGGAAAGATAGATTTGTCGTCAAAAAAGGGGAAACGAACCAGTATTGTGGGAAAATATAAGAAACACAATACATAGGGCAGAAGTGGCACAACACAGAAGATCTGCGCAATTAATGATTTTAATATAAAGTGCACACAATTTCCTCATGTGGAAATTGTTTTCACCATGGTCATCACAAACAGTTCATTGTCTTAATAATTATCAACCGAATTTCTTTTATTCCTTTATGTTCCCCCTGGAGCATACATATTCAAGCTAGAGCTTTGAAGTTTCGGTAGCAGTGGTGTTTATTTTTACGGAGTGGGGTCGCTAGCCCCTGCCGAACCTTCCCTCTTTACCACTCTTATTACTGGCTTAGCGAGGTAAAGGAGTGCGTCGACTGGGGATCGAACCCCGAACGACATGGCTGACGTGGTTGGCGAGCATTCTACCGCTGTGCCACCGACGCACAAGCACTATTCGAATTACCTGTTTATTTCTCCTGTTACTCCATGTTTAGTTCCTATTTGCATTACATAACTGCATCTTTTTATTTACTACATCTTGACCTTTGATAGCAACTTTCTCACCCCTTCCTTATATATTTTGAATGTATAGCCTAAATGATGACTTCATCGTGATGAAGAATTTTTTCTTTGCTGAAATCATCCTTTTGTTTTTCCTAATACATATCACAAATAGGTGACGTGGGTTCGAATCTCAGAAGGGACATGAGTTCCTTCGAGGTTGCAGATACACCTTGCTGATAAATGTCAACTAGCATGGAACCTAGGTCCAAGGCCTCCTGCCGATTGCCTCCAACCACCTGATACAAATATATCACAAATATTCGAAACACGTTTACAAGGCAACACCATCCATCCATTCATACATAAGGTTTCAGGCTTTGAAATTTGAGTAGCCGTAGTGATGTTGTTTTCCCGGCTAGTACAGTAGGCGAGGTTTAGGCGTGAGTCAGCCGGGAATTGAAGCCAGAACGCCTGTGTGCTTTGCGAACATTCCACCATTGAACCACCAATGAGAAATAACATTACAGCAAATAAATGCAAGTCTTGCTTGTATCATTGACACAAATATTTCTAAATCACAGCTACATGATATACATCAACATGGCAACACCCAACCCTCACCCAAAATGTAAGCTGACAATTGTTACCGTAAGATTACAGTTCATACTTAATATAAAGGAAGGTATGTCAACCAATAAAACACATTTAGAAATAGAAACCAAATGAGACATGATAACAATGACAAATTAATTCTAACAAGAACTAAAGTGCTTATAAAAGTATGCAGAAAAAGTTACACATTTATCAAGTGAAAATAAGAAAAGAAACAAATTATAGTTGAAGCGGATGATATTGTAAAGTATGATGTCATACAACTATTACACCCGCTTGTATTACAATTCAACACGAATCATAGACTGAAGATTCCAGTCCACATTCAATCAACCGACAAACAATTCAAAATAATTACTGTAATAATAGTAATAATATTAATAGCTTTACTCCAAACAGTACTATTGGTACAGATATAGAAGTTTCAGCGTGTAAAACATTATTGCATCTAATCACACGAACTAACCAGTTCATGTAAGTCGCTCTTGCATCTGAAAGCGAAATTAACCAATTGACATTTGGAGGGATTAAGCTTACGACCATTTGACAAGGAACACTGACTAATTTCTGATGAAAAGTTATTCATTTTGGAAAAATCTGGCTAAGGAGTAACGGGCATAGAAACAGTCACATCAGCATACTTAACAAAATTGGCATCGTCAGAATGGAACAAGTCAGGTAAGAAGAAAGAAAACAGAAAAGGAGGAAGGACAGCATCTTGAGGAACACCACCAACTAGAGTAAGTAAAACAGTGGAGCACTTTCCGTTGTAAACAGTATACTGCCTCCTGTCAGAAGAATAGGAATGCAACCAATTATTAGTCCACCACTGTGTGTCACACCAAGCATGTTTAACAAAACAGGTCTGGGTACAGAGACAAAGACAGATATGCACTCTAGGAAAGCACAAAGAATATATTTGGCACCTCTGTCTCAACTAGAGACAATATTATGATATAAGACAACAGTGGCATCCAAAGTACATCTACTATGCTTATACGCAAATTGATTAGGGTCATTAAAAGCCTTCAATGAAAGTTAACCGTTAAATAAAAGCAGTTTTTCCATTATTTAAAAAAAAGGCAAAGTAATGGCAATAGGTCTAAACTTAACACTTGACCAACTTGATGATCTAGGCATAGGAACAATTTTAATGTCATTCCAAGAAGCAGACAGAATGTCAGTGGAAAATGATTCATTGAATATACCAGTGAGGGGATAATAGCCGGTGCACCAAATGGACCAAGGAAGTGGGTAGGTTTCAAAGATTTGAGATGTCGTTTGTGTTAAAACTTGAGAAGCAGTCTTAGTAGATATGTTCAGATGGCCTCTCGTGGTTTAATATCCTAATGGATAACACAATAGCTTTTGAAGCAACGAGTACTGTGTGTTCGAGTCTCAGTTGTTACGCGACCACTCACTTGGGATGCAGACAGTTCATGAGTCTTAAATATGAAGAAATACGTGTCTGCTCTCTACTGCTAGCCACTAAAAACCAAAGTAACCATTTATCAGCTAGGAGGATGTAAAATCAATGCTTCTGTGTGATTCAGAGACATGGCATGTGGTTACTGCAGACTTTCATCAGCAGCTGCGTTCCTTGGTCCCATACTTACAGGCCAGAAAAAGTAGGCAACAAGGAGCTCTAGCAACGAACCAACCAAGAAACTATCACGCAACAAATATGCAGGAGGGAACAGAGGCGAACAGGACATACTACGAAGAGACCACGGAGTGACACTACGCACCCGGTCCCTAAGTGGAACTCGAATGCGAAGCGACGAACTGAGCGTCGCTTTTAGGGTGACACAGAGGACATCATGTGAGGAGGAAATGAAAGCTTATGGGTAATTGTGGAATCAGTTAAAAGAAAAGAATTCAGAAAATAGGGTGAAATGGGTATGTGCTGGTGGGGCTCTTTGTTCCGCTCAGAACACCTCAGGGAATAATCAGATGTAGATGAAAATGTGATATACGTGGACACACAAAAAGCACTGCAGAAAAATGTAAATTAAGCTGAACCAGCAAATAAACTACAAAACAGTGGCGAATAAGTTAAAAGCTGAATCTATGCATATATTAAATAGACAGTTGTATATCTATAGGTAATTCAAACAATCTTAAAACCTACTAGAGGAATGTCGCCTTCACCAGAACGTTTACGGGCTCGTATACGCTCCATGCATACAGTTGGACTGGCACGAAGATACACTAAAGAGAATAAGCAAAATAAGAATAGGCGGTAAAAAGTTTAGTAAAAATTGAAAAATTAAATGATGTTAGCATCTTACGTTACTTTATAAACTACTGATAGACTGATATGAGTAGATGGATAACTAATCACATCAACTAGTAGTCCTTACCAGCTAGCCAGATCAAAGTGATCTAAGCATCGGATGGCTGTTTTAATCGCTTAGGGGCTAACTCATTCAAGGTGTACCAAGATTTACCACATCAAGCCACCCTATTTCTGGCTAGAAACTCCGGTGGACTAGTAGTATATTGAATCAAATTCGTAATTTACACGGTTCGTGGGGAAATTTTTCACCACAGTTTTCTTTGAAAGTCGATGATCAACTCGACTCTAAATGGGCAAAACAGCCGGCCGGCGTTTATATCACTCCAATCTAGCAGACCGACCAACAAGCACTACTAGTTAATGTTAATTGTTATCCAACTACTACTCATATCAATCAGTCAGTAGTACATAGCATCATACATTTGTGCTCACATTCTTGATTACCACGCGTGATAATCACAGGGATCACATATATTGTGATCTGAACGATTTGAACTTCCAAAGGAAACTATGGTGAAAAATTCCACCTCGAACTCTGTTACACAAATATCATGACCTAGTTTGCAAAATTGAGAATTCGACTAGAGGCATAGCCTTATCATATGATTCACTGACACTTGATTAGCGATATGCAAAATCTAAGAACATAAACTGAAATTTTACAGTCGTGCACATAACCAGGAAACCGACAAATCATATTATGCGAAACAAACAAACACTCAATGACTTCCGCAATTTGTGTCGTGTTTTAGTTTGATCATTCCTAGCTATCGACTAGTCTAATCTTGTCTAAACGCACATTATATGCTAGAGGCATGCAGAACTGATTGACTGAATGCCAATGTAGAATTTCTAATAAAAGCGAATCAGTTCAAGTTGCCGCATTCAGAAAAGTAGGGAAAATAAGTTTAATGAAACTACAACAGACGAAATTGCATGCGACAGAGAATTTGAAAGATGACAAAATGTGGATATATCTGCATTACTGAGAATGATCTAAAGCCATTTTACCTACATTCTTCAACTATTATTTGTTAGCATTCCAAACATGAATTGATGCCAAATTTTTATCTAACCTATTCCCGGATCATATAACATAGTTTTTCAAGGATGGCAGTTACTGGGTATGCATAACACATCTTCTAGACACCTCAATCTATGCACCTTCACGATTTCATCAACTGACTTTCCCCACATATCTAACAGCTGACGCATAATCTCATTATTACTGATTATATTACTCCAACTAACATGAAACACTATGCGGAGAAAACTACAGCCAACGCTTATGCTTTATTGCAGCTGTAAAGTAGAACGGAGTTCATTGCTGTCCACCACGTATGCTCTTTGATAGGTAGCTGGGTATTACCTCTGTGTTGAAGATGATGCAACTTGACAAGTTAAACGCTAATCTTTTATACTAGAGCTGAGATTTGATTAGCATGGTCTAAAAGTTGGACAAAACAGCTGTTCACTAATCCTTGATTGTTCAATGATATGTTATAGAAACCATTTCTAAAGCAAACATGAATGGCTTAGTGGTGAAATTACGTGATACATTTACCGCAAAGCTTTCAGTAAACGATAAAATCCCCAATAGAGTGAGACATCTCCTTTAAAAGGAAAATACATGGTAGGTATCCAGTATTTCAATTGAATATTTGAAATAACGTCGCTTAGTTTACTAGCCTGCCCCAATTCCAGAAGAGAGGGGAGGTGCGGAATGAGGCAAACAATCTCACCACTACTGGAAATTCAAAGTATAGGAGAGACAGACTAATGCTCAACTAGGATCTAAAAAACTCCTCAGTTCGGGGACGGATGATGCTGGAGGGTGAAAGCCTTCGGGAAACCAGTCATCCAATGTATCTTCTCTCGATGAATACCAAAGTATGTATGAAGACATCTAACATCGGCAAGATGTTTAGGCTGCTAAGGCTGCCCAGATTGCAAACGAAATAAGAATTTATGTCATAGAAGTGCTAGGAATATGTGAAAGCAGATGGAATGGAAGTGTACTCTCCAGAATGTTAACTGCAGATAACAACCGCAAGGATGCTGATGTAATGCTCAATTGTATTTGTAATCAACCCAGAGCAAACAGTGTAATTAGCATATGACAAATTTACGGATGAATTATTAGTCAATAAGAACAATAAGTAATTGAACATACCGATTAAATCAATAGGTATACTTTTATTTTTAATTACCCATTGAAATATACGAACGAGTTCTTCATAGTCAGCATCTGAAATACTGCCACTATAAAAGAAAACAAAAAAAAACAGACAAATGCATAACTTCGTTAGATTTGATATCACACACTGACCACACATACTTATTTTTAATGTACAAACATTTTTGTTCAGAATGTACTCAATATACTTATAAAACTTGCTTCAAATTACGAATGTAAGTCTACCGTGCAGATGATATTGTCCTTCTGGGTGGAAACCCTGATAACACCCAGAGTCTTCTGAATACCTTGATGAGAAATTTTGATATGTTTAGTATGCAAATGTGAGATGAATGGTCTGCGCCGACTCCTAATTTAGAGATAGCAGTGAAGTGGTTGAGTGTGTTGAGCACCTTACTTATTCGGGAGGTTGAATCATCCCTAATGAACAACTGATTGCTGACAAAATCTCAGCACGGATACAAAAGACTGGTGCTGCATTTGTTAACTTAAGTCATCTTCGGCGGCTATCGATCAAGAAACGCGTGTACTGAGCACAGGTTCACTCTGTCCTTCCCTATGATTTTGAAACATGACAGTTGAAAGTGGAAGACCTGAAGCTGCCCCTGACCACAGGTGATTGCGTCTTATCTCCCACTTAAGTGGTGTGATATGGTAATATAGAGGTTTAACGTAGATTGTTAAGTAAAGGGGGAAGATTTATCGATTGAGATGGGGAAGGAATGTAGCACTCATGATGAGTCACTGCCTTCTTTAACAAGAAATGTTAGCTGGCATAAAACTAACCTCGGAAAGGATTCCAAGAGGTCAAATCGAAACCTGGCAGCAATCTATGGTGTCCTTCACTGTTAGAGTCACAAAGGGAGATACAGGCTGTCTCTACTTGAGGTCCTCGACATGCTAAGAGTCAATGCCTTCAGACTGTTGGTGATATAGCTCAAAACTGTTTTCCATAGTAGGTGCATTCAATCTCCGTAATTTTTGAGTTTTTTAAGTTTTTTTCCTCTTCTCCACTTTTTGTGCTCTATGGAGTATGGAGAATTCAACTGTTTTACTTCTGTGCTATGTTCAACATTAAAACTCAGTCAGTTTACACGATTTAAAGCGCTAAGCCAACTAAAAACTTATCTTGTCTGAACTCATTTATCCAGATTACATTTTTCATATACCAGACTACGATCTGCACTAATTGTGTTAGAGGAAATGATACTACCCAGTTTGAAGTAAGTGGGGAAATTCAAAAGAAATTAGAGTGAAGTTAAAGCCTATAAAATGTGGAGCTGTGGTTCGTTGGTCGATACACTTGAATTCCAACCACCAGATGATGAGTCGGAGTCCAGTTCCGTCTACGGATGTTTAGATAGCTTGCTTGTCATTACACAACAGTAAGTGTACATCATTACCAGATGCATAGAAATGCAAGTTAGTTGTTGAATAACGCTCATTGTGACATGAATTCTAATAGTTTCAAACAATAAAGTACTTTTAAAATCATATGATCATAACGTGGTAAGTAAACCTTTCTTCCCATCGTACCAAATACTCAATAAGTAAAATAGGAGTGACAGGTAACTGCACATCTATAAACTGTATATAAGGAAAATAATATTCCCCAACATAATTGAAACATAAAACTAACAGAGCCGGAAGAAAATGGTCAGACAGTTAGGAGAATACAGTCAGCAACCTCGAAACGTTATAAGTAACATGGCGGTAAAAAAATAAATCATATAACAGAATTACACTTAACCATAATTTCATACTTACACCTTGTGCTTTTAGTAACTCTGTCATATCTACATCCTATTTTCCTTAGTCAGCCTTTCACAACAGTAAAATAATGCACGAAACAAATAAAGTCAGCACCTGCTAAACCACAGCAATTACATGCATGTTTAACAATGGGTCACGTGTATCTTTGTGAGAGCTCATAAAAAACAACAAAGCCAACCTAGATCATTGTAAGTGCAGCAGGATGCAAAATCATGAAGAACTACTTAAAAACGGAATACTTGTGTCAGTGATACACACAACCTTTGTGTGCTACATAGAGTATGACTACCTGAATTGCTGCACTTCTGTGCAAAGTTCTACGATGAAAACTCTGTCAGTCAGATTCACACATACTCAACTGTCACTTATCCAGTACGTTTCGTAAATCCAACATCCACTTAGTTGGTAGATTATTATAGTCACATCAGTCAATCGGCTTAGTCCGGTGTGCCTTTTACAAGAGGATTTTCCTTATTTTGAAGACCGAGATAAAGAATTATTGAAATTTAAGTAGTAAAGATTCTGTTCATCTAGGTACTAAATGTGTTATTTTGTTCTGGGTAGGTTTTTCGTGTACACCCTTAAGAGTCATTTTATGCTCACTTTAAGTAGAGGAAGAAGTTCAGATAAAATACGAAGGGCTTCTAAAATTTGGATCAGCAAGACATAAGGCTTAGCTAGTGTCAAATTTACTATGATTATCATAGAGATATTGTTTTTATCGGTTTAAGCACTTACGACTACCAAGTCCTAGTTTCAAGCTTCACTCCAACTACTTCAGCCTAGGGAACTAAGTAGTAACATTGTAACAACAACACCACAACATTAACTCTCACACAATAAATGTGGTTCAGAGACATAAAACATCTGTTGTGAGTTACTGAATTCAAATATTTTAAACACTGTCAGTATTAACCTTAGAACTCAACTAACTAGGACAATCTTTTATGTGCCAGACTATGTATGAGCCACACTTATCAAGACAGCTGGTGATACTACTCAGTTGTCCCGGCCAAAGTAGGTGGGATGGGATTCGAGACTGGGACTTGCTAGCTATTAGTCGAGTCCTTAAGCCAATGAGCAACATCAAATTGGTCTTGTCATACAGTTAGTTATCATTCGAACTCCATAGTGTGGAACATCATATTAAGTTATATAGCGGAAGATAGTTTATTTTTTAATCCAATCATTTAAAGAGGTATACACATAAGCCAACAAGTTAAAAGTTCAAACTATGATGACTTTTATAATTTTTGTAATGAATGTATTCGTGATTTACTTCAATGTTCAAAATAGCTACATCAAAAATACTTACTTATTATGCATATTTTCTGTGAAACAATATCGACTACTATAGATGGACCTTTCAAGGAGACGTACTGGTTTCGTCTAAATATCAAGAAGTAAAGACAAATATGTAGTAACAATTCATCGGAAATAACATAATGAAATAATAAGAGTATAAAACATTCCCTCGATAAAGACGCCATTAACATTCGTCAGTTGGCACTCCTGCCTGCATACAGCTAATATGCCTAGCAAATCCAAAGTTAGAAATGTGTTACTATGTCACCACTTCTATATTTTGCAATACACTGAGTTGAATAGGGATGCAGAAGCTGGACACGGATGCGGTTATCACGAATATTGTTAGTCCAACACCAATAACACTATACGACAGCTACTTGTCCCCAAGTCCGTTCTACTTAGGTGAGAACACACAAGGACGTGAGCAATAAAGTATATTTCAGTGTTAGCCACAGCATATATACAAAAGAAAACAATGGTATATATGTGACCAGTGACGTAGGCGTGACAGGCGTCCATAACAGGATGTATTCATGGCTAATGACGTATGCGAGAGAGAAGATAACCATAAGAGTATAATCCATTGTTGGTATGCCTACATATCAAAATTTGACTAACTGGGTTTCAACGTAGAACTTTTCGCACAACTGCAGAAGTTTAACTTGCCAAATCACGTGCAGATCACAGGTAGAGGAAAGAAAAAAGAAACTCAGACGAACTACAATGAGCAGAAATATGCAGGAGGAGAAATAGCTATACCGAAAAAAACATGAGGATTTGTCTGTCTAGTTTCAACAAAGAACTTTGCACCGGTGTGCAGCAGTTCGATTCGCCACACCACTCGGCACACAAAGCTAGAGTGGAAAGTAAGAAAGAAACGCAAAATAGAGACAGTAAACAGGGATATGAAGCAAAAAATAGTAATACTGAAAAACAATACAGTTTTTTTGGATATTATAAGTCACAAGGAGTGGATGATTCTGCGCCATTGAGAACGTTTTTGAGCCATATCACCAGTTGTCTCCAGCCAATGGTGTTTATCGTCCCGAGGACACCAACCAGGAAGTCTACACCTTCCTACGTGGCTTAAACTAACTATCGTGGATTTCATTGACTGATGACGCCATGTTTTGGTTTGACCACCACTTGCTCTTTTCCAACCTGATCCTGTCAGCTATTATTGACCGTCGAGGAAGGCGACAGCTAGGCTGGCACGCATAACACATGTCCTAACCATTTAAGTCGATGTAACTTCCCCTCCTTACCTAGCACTCGATCGAAGCCTAACCTCAATATTGCTCACCCTATTATACAGTCCGTATTACACCTGATGACGCCACTACTGGAGAAGGTGTGGAAAGAAGGCAAAGTACCGAGACTGGAAGAAAGGATACCTATTCAAACTACCAAAGAAAGGAGACTTAAGTCAATGCAAGAACTGGCGCGGAATTATGCTCCTTTCCATCCCAAGCAAAATACTAAGCCGCATCATCCTGGAAAGGATCAAACAAGCCTTGGATGAAAAACTTCGACCAGAACAAGCTGGATTCAGGAGTAACAAGTCATGTATTGATCAAATCGCCACACTACGGATCATCATTGAACAAAGTTTGGAATGGCAGTCACCTCTCTATCTCAACTTCATCGACTTTGAAAAGGCCTTCGACAGCGTCGATCGAGAGGTGATTTGGCAACTACTTCGCTACTACGGGGTGCCGCCGACAATTATACATCTCATCCAACAGTTGTATGACAACGCTGCATGCCAAGTAATCCACAACGGGAAGCTCACGGAATCCTTCGAAGTGAAGACAGGAGTAAGACAGGGTTGCCTACTATCGCCAATGATTTTCCTGATTGCAGTAGACTGGATAATGCGACAAACAGCGGGCAATGAGGAAACAGGCATAAAATGGACTCACACAAAGAACTTGGAGGATCTGGACTTCGCCGATGATATATGCCTGATTTCCCACAAACTGGAAGATATGCAAGTGAAAAGTAACAAGTTGGCAGAAGAAGCATCAAAGTTAGGACTCCAGGTGAACATAGAAAAAACAGAGGTGATGAAGATCCCTGGCCAACACCAACAACAACAACAGACAGCAATCAGTATAAATGGAAAAAACCTGAAAGAAACTACCTCCTTTACCTACTTGGGAAGCATTGTTTCAACTACAGGCGGAACTGACGAGGATATCAAAGCAAGGATCGGGAAAGCAAGGCAAGCTTTCATTACTCTGAAGTCTGTGTGGAGGACAACATCATTCAGCGTCAAAAATAAGATCGGGATTTTCAACTCCAATGTGAAGTCAGTACTACTATACGGATCAGAGACTTGGCGTGTCACAAAGAGCACCTCAAACAAGCTACAGACCTTCATTAACAGATGTCTTCGCTCAATACTCAAGATCAGATGGCCGGAAAGGATCAGCAACAAAGATCTCTGGGAGCGAACCAACCAGGAACCCATTGTGAAACAAATAGGCAGGAAGAAATGGAGATGGATTGGCCACACTCTGAGGAAACCAGCAAGTGACATCACTAGACAAGCCCTCGAGTGGAACCCGAAAGGGAAGCGGCGAGTTGGTCGTCCAAGGGTGACCTGGAGGAGATCATGTGAAGAGGAGATGAAAGCATGTGGGCAGACCTGGAGCCAGGTGAAAACTCTAGCAGAGAATCGAACGCAATGGAGACGCATGGCTGAAGCCCTATGTTCCTCTAGGAACTAAAGGAAATAATAATAATAATAATATTACACCTAACATATAACACGGAAGATAGAACGCAGACACCTATGGTCAAAGACAGCTAGCTAGCCTTTTCATGTCTTTCACTCTCACTGACCAAGTCTCTTTCACAGCCATAAAGGAGGAGGTGGGAACGAACTGCTGAGCAGTATACGCGTCATTTGGTCGATAGCCGGATATCACGTCTACTCCAGAGACGGCGTAAACTGACATATGCGAAACTAGCTTTCTATATGCATGCTGAGGATCTAATGGATGTGGAATATTACAAAGATTGAATGCATCGGCGCCATTAAGAACGACTTTGAGCCATGCCACCTGAAGTCAATAGACGTTGATTCTTAGCATCCCGAGGACCCCGAGACAGGCACACACACACCTCCCTATGTAGCTGGTTCAAACCATTTACCAAACTTTTGATGGATTGATGCCAGTTTCTGATTTTACCACCGCTAACTCTTTCCAATCTAATCTTATGTCAGCTAGCATTGCCCAACAAAGAAACCGTTGGCTCACCATGTATAACACATGTGTCTGGCTTTCTCAATCGATGTAGCTTTAGATACTGAACTACTGACTTTCCCTGCTGACCTAGTCAATATTACTCCAGTTAGAACCCAGTTCTGAAAAGAAATCTTATGCAATTGGTTATGACACACTTTTTGTAAAAAGGATCATGAAACTGCTCAACCGATACCACTCATTTAACTGGAGAGGAAATAGAAAACATCCAGTAATTGACTAAAAGTTAAAGGCTACAGCCAGCAAACTATATCTTCACATGGAATCAGAAGCTAAAAATGTCAACAAGCCAATCGGAACCATAATGATAGCAACAAATACATCTGTGCCACTGAGGTAGGATCGGAGCTATAATTCCCTATAGCCTCTAATCATGAAATAATGTTATCTTATTCCTTTTAATTAATAGGCTGACATTTTTAAACTTGTTCAAAAACGTTAACTAAAAAAGAAAGTAGTGACTAAATTCTCTCTCGCAGTTAATTTTTCGTTGGCTTTTTCTTACACCTTAAAATACGGTTGGTGGTAGCCAAATATCTGAACCGTCTCCAAAGAAGAAAGTTTATAGTCTTTTAGGGTAACTAACCTTTTTCACCTAAGATTCTTCTACGTCTTGCATTGTGCGTGACTTTATCACATAAAGACGCTGCAAAGATATCGGTATTCACATTTTCTAAGAAGCCTTTTAATCTTTTACTTTTAGTCTCCACGTTTGGAAGACATATCTTAGGTGGGACAATCTTCTAAGGGCCATACTGTTATATGAAACACATGACCAAAGGAAACAATCTGACAGCTACTTTTGGTAACCGAAACGTTTTATTAGAATCAGATACCAAAAGAGCTAACTACCTATTTAATAAATTGAATAATGTTTCTGGTTAAAAATGAAAAACAGACGTTAGATACTATTAATGCTGCAATCGACAGCTAGTGTCTAACTATTCCCCTATTAGTCTGATATGTTTGGTAGGTTAAGTATGCGGGAAAACTAACAAAGTAAATTACTAAATCGCATATTAACGCGCGCTGACAGAGCATTGGTAAGGCTTCACATTAGAGCACTCATGCTTAAGTAATTTATTTGCAGCTTGAGTGGAATAGATTTGAGTCAGTGAGGATGAACTGACCGTCGAAGTAGGATTCACTAATCCACGTAAAGTTGTTGGTAAGCTGCCTCAAATAGTGTGATCGAACTCGTAAGTTTTGACACAGATCCCAACAAGTAAGATCAGTTTAGTGAATACCACTTTGAGAGAAAGAAAAGGGCGAGACTGAAGGCGGACCCGCCCTTTTAACTAACCGAGTGGGTCTAGACGATGGAAAAAAAACGATCCCAGCAAAAGTGACGTAGTGAACCTCGGTCACAGGTCCCCCTATAGATTTACAGTGAATTGATCAACACCACTTTACTTTGTTGTTAACCACAACTTGAAAACACTAGCACACTGTAACACAACCGGGTTCAAGGCCTTTAAGATTCTATCACCGCTGTAAGATGTAAAAATGCACTGATGAAGATACGTTTCGTATAGTACACTCGACCTTGAAATTAATACTCATCTTGACGAAAACTGGTAATATATCCGGTCTGCTGTAGAGATGGAAGTACATATATCTGATACTCTGCAACTGAAGACTGGTAAATGAGTGTGGTTCCCTGGGATGCTAAGAATCAACGGTCGAAAAATGTTAGTGAAGCGTCTCAAAATAATTCCAACTGGCACAGGCATATTCAGTCTTTGTGATCACTTAGATTCTTTAAATCTCCAACCAAACTGCAACAACCGCGAAAGAAATGAGAAGCAGCAAAATGTAAGAGGTAATAAATGCCAATTATTGAGGCTTATTAAGAAAACGTGACCTGAAAGCTACGTTAAGTGAAACTATTTTATTGAACTGATAATTGATAACTCCTTGGAGGAACGTCTAGAACATTGTACAGAACATATTAAGTAGCAGTTCAAGTTGCCTGTATCTGAAATACAGTTGTCTACTATGCAACTCAGCCTGAATGGGAAGTAGGCATGAGTCCTCCAACTATAGTCAAGGTTGCCGAAACTGACTTTAAACCAAGATGAAAACTACTGGTTTGATTCCAGAAGTTTTAAGGAAGGTTATGGTGAATTATTCGTTAGATTTGATAGAGCATTAGGTAATATACGGGCAGACTATAGGCTCTGAAAAGGATGCACTGACCAAATTTTTATTCCCCGAGTTTCTAGAAAACATACGCGTGGAAATTCCGATCTGTAGGAAACCTTCGACTTCACTGATCAAATGTTGCAGGAATGCCATCTGTCGGTGAATATTGTCGAAACAGTACATTGCGCTAGTCAGTGGGCCCTACTCGAACCCGTACAACTGCGAAAGCTCATAGACAGTTGTCATCCAAATCAACAACATCTAATATCATCTTGTGATTAATCACTGTCACTATTCTTATTTAATTTCACCACAGACTTAGAGATGGATATGGCCCTGGTTAGGTACGAATCCTCAAGGATAAACTTGTTACGTGGAGATAGCCTCAATGATCTGGAGCATGCATGCATGTTATACGTGAAGACGCTGACAGAATGCGAAATCTTTCGGACACTCTGATGGAAAATTTGAGTAGATCCGCCCATGTCAAGAATAAGATTATTCTGCAGAGGTGGTCTGCACTAACTCTTAATTTACTGATGGAATGAAATGTTTGAAAGTAACGACTACTTCACTCATTCGGGAAGTTGCAATAGTCCTAACGGACTGGATGCTGGACAGATATTAGCGTGGGTGACAAAATGCAGAGTCTTCTGAACAACTTGAGCAGCAATCTTCGTATGTTTGGCATGCGATTCGCCCCTTTACAATGTAAGATGCTGCTACAGGACTGGACTACGTCAACTCCTAGCTTAGTGATAGGGAGTGAAGTGATAGAACATGTTGACCACTTCACCTATTTGGGAAGTTGTATCAGCACCAACGGATTGATTGGTGACGAAATCTCAGCACGGATCCAGAAAGCTCGGGCTGCTTTCGCTAACTTACACCGTCTCTGGTGTAGGCGTGACATCCGGCTATCAACCAAGGGACGTGTGTATTGCTCAGTAGTTCGCTCCGTCCTTCTCTGTGGCGGTGAGACGTGGCCATTGAGAGCGGAAGACATGAAGAGATTGTCTGTTTTTGACCACAGATGTTTACGATCTCTTTCTCGCGTTAGGTGGTATAATAAGGTAAGTAATGTTGACGTTAGGCGTAGAGTGTTGGGCAAAGAGGGAAAATCACTCGAAGAGGCTATGAAGTTACATAGATTGAGATGGTTAGGTCACGTGCTGCGCATGCCTAACCATCGTCTCCCCCGACGGGCATGATTAGCTGATATAGGTGCAGGTTGGAAAAGAGTAAGTGGTGGCCAAACAAAAACATGGCCTCATCAATCCATGAAATCCCTGACAGTTAAACTGAGTCAGGTAGGGAGATGCAAACTTCCGGGTTGGGGCCCTCGGGACTCTAAGAATCAATGGCTGGAAACAATAGGTGACATGGCTCAAAATCGTTGTCAATGGCTAACGCGGATGTATTCAGTCTCTTTAACCTTCATATTCCTTTCTACCATTCCTCATTCTGTTTCACTCTTATACTTATCTAAATTCTATTGATTCTCTTCTCTCATTTTCCTGTCTACCTTTGTGTGCTATTCGGAACGTGGCAACTCGAACTGCTGCACTTCGGTGCCAAGTTCTATGTTGAATCCAGCAGCAGCAGCAGCGTGGGTACAAAACCCTACTTGATATTTGGCAACTTGTTTCATCTTCGGCCAATACTTACCAAAGGGTATATACGCTGAGCAGCAGTTCATTGTTCTACTCTACTGTTTTGACATGGCTTCTGAAGATAGGTAGATATCGAGTTTTAAACTTTTTAGTATATATTAATGTGGACATGTGGTTTCTTCTTGAGTGTTCTGGTAATTAGTACCAACTGATCAATTACAGATGAAGGAATCAGAATTCCGCCTAGAGTTATTTAAACTGTGGCTATAAAACCCTTTTATCAGACGGAGGAGAAAGATTCACGAGGTCAGAACCGAAGTCATTACTTAAAATGCAATATCCTGAAGTGATATTTTTCTAAGTTTTTTTTCCTTTACGTTTTCAGTGGAACATAGGGCTTCAAGCTAGAGCTTTGAAGTTTCGGTAGCAGTGTTGATTATTTTTACTGCTAGCCTCACGTCCAACCTTCCCTCTTTACCGGCTTAGCGAGGTTTAGGAGTGCGCCGGCCGGGGACCGAACGCCGGACGAAATGCGTGATTGGCGAGCATCCTACCGCTGAACCACCGACGCAGCTGAAGTTATATAGCATCTGTTATTACGATATATGGTGAAATTAATCTGTGTTGGTCACCCCGAGGGACATTACTGCTTACTTTGAGCAACTAATCAGAATTAAGGAGCAGTAAGTCGTGTTATCGTTGGAAACATGTATATAAACCATAGAGTTTTCATAGCCTTTAATATTTCTGACCCTATTCTCTGGTTCACCTCCAAATCTCGACCCACCCGCCCCCTAAAGCATCAGTTACCTTGTCAAGATTTCTCCGGATATGCATCTTATAGTAACTCCCATTATCCCACTATTTACATAGCACTCAAACAAGTGATCCTTTTGCAGTTTGCCTAGTTAATTTAAAACGGAATACATAATTTGGTTTCGTTGTACCACCTGAAAATATAATTGGTTATCGAAAGTCATATGCTGAAGTGGTTGTCATAGTTTAAATTCCCATACTGCTACCATCGAAGGGATTAGACATTTCTGCCACCAAACTAGTGATTCCTATTTGTAACATCTGTCTTCTTTAAGGATCAGAAGGCCGTATGCAGTATTCAAGATGGGCTCTTATGTACGTTTGATATAATAAGCTCAACATTCCTTTCCATAACCACTCCAGAAATATTAGTATTCACAAGGTGAAATATATACATACCACTCAAAATGACACTTTGATTCAATTTCAACGTAAAACTATTAACATTAGTTATAAGATTAAGGAAAAAGTGGAGATGAACGGAAAATTAATTACCGGCAGTTTTGACTGACGATCTAGCAGTGTCACTAAAACTTGGGCCTGAAAAGGAACACACCAACGAGATGCATCTTGATACATAAGTTCCTAAACATATGAAACTGTGAAAATTTCGAGTATTACAAATAAGTCGTAGCCGCGAGCATCTTTCCATAAGTATAAAGGTTCATGTAGCACTTCAGTTTTAGGTGACAGCTGCTGGAAGAAACGTAAAAATGTCGACTTTCCGCAGCCTATATTTCCTTCAACCATTACCTAAGCATATCAAGTAAAGAAAGCAATTTAACTAACAGTCCGAAACTCAGCTTTCGAAGTCATCGCGATTACTCCTGACCTCAAACCTCAAACTTGAATTTGAATTGAAATGTACCACACTCTGGTACTATGCGATCGTCACAGCTCTTTGCTGAATTTTGTTCCGTCTGTAATCATTACTTTACATGTATTTCAGGACGAAATTTCTAAATTAACTCATATTTTGTGGTGTAAAAGATGCTTCCAATATCCAATATCGTATTTACCACCCAGTCGGTTAATGCACGTGGGCAATGTGGGCAAAAGATGGTGTAAATGCAACCAATTTTACCCACTTTGCCCACATAACCCATTTTTCCCCGTTTGCCCATACGCGTAGAAATTTTTTTCTCCCACTTTTTCCTTGTTTTCCCACTTCTTAAACGAACAATTAACCCACCTTTTCCCCGTTTACCCACTTTTTCAACGAAAATAGCCCACGATTACCCACTTTGCCTATGTCATTTTTGAAAATAGCCCCCTTTTTCCCACTTTACCCATGTTACAAACGACAAAGTGCCCACGTTTTTACCCACATATCCCAGGTCCAAAAAAAAAAATAACCGACTGGGCAGCTAGTATAAACCAATTCGATTTCTTTGCGCTCGCCTCTTGATTGTGAGGTAGAGGTTCCTGATCTTCGGTAAACTTCTGCGTAGCTCGTCCCACCACTAGACTGTTGTAGCTTTGGCTGACTCCAAAAGGAGTAGTGCTGGGATTAATTATATGTGGTTTGTATTATGAGGTGTGTTAAGACTTACTACTGTGAATGGAGATGATCGTTTCACCAGTTGGTCCTTCGGTATCGTCGTCAATAGAAAAGAGATAATAATAATAGATATAATTAGTGCAGGTATTCAGACTAACAGACAGAAAAAGAATAAGAAAACGTAACCACAGTCAGTCAACCGGTATGTATATATACCGGTAACAATGATAATAATAATAGGTGTAGTTAAAGCTGTCAGGAGAGTAAGACGGAAGAGAATGTAAAGAAGTAAAATGACCAGTTTAATTGTCTTCCCCTGAATGGTGTATGCGATTTTAAGGGGATAGGCCATTTGGATGCAGTCCTTGTGTCGCTGCATGGTTGTCCAGCCTTCGCTTAGAGGCGTCCACAGATGGTGCTATAGCTACATCTGCCGGTAAGGAATTCCAGGGACGGCAAACCCGCAGGGAAAAGAAGTGGGAGCGCACCCGGGTCCTTACCCTCTGGTGAGCTATCCTTCTAGGATTTCCACGAGGGAGCCTATACCTACTCAGTGGCAGAACACCTTTGTTTGGATGATTCTGGTCATTTGTTATTTTGTAGGCAGTAATTAAATCCCCCCTAAGCCGACGGTAGCTAAGTGTGAATAGGCCTAATTTCTTCAGCCTTTCATCATATGGTTTATTTCCGAGACCAACCACTCCTTTTGTTGCCTGTCGTTGGACTCTTTCTAAGAGGTTGGTGTCTCTTCTTAGCAGTGGGGGTGCAATAATATTATGCACTTCCAGGTGTGGTATGACGTATGTTTTGTACAACCTTAGAAAGAGCTCAGGAGTGCACCTTACTGTCTATGTGAAAAGTGTATGACCGCATACGCCCTCGCTACGCTTGTGTCCATTTTTCCGTTAGAAGTAGACCTAAGTCGCTTTCCGACGTTGTGCGTGTGCTTTGTATAAACCTCAGCTGCATATGTTTGATTGATAGCCAGCACATTTTCATTTCAGACAGTTATTTCCGTTTATGGATTTCGTAGAAGAAATAATATAACGTGACTTGTCTAAACTTGTCTAATGTATATGCGCAAAATGTTTCAGTCAATCTGGTCACATGCGTTTGTAATAGGTTTACATTAAAAATAAAAATCATAAATACTGGTCATTTTGGAAAGCTAAATTTGAGGCGGAACGACGCCTGCTTCGCTACTTTTCCAGCCGATCGTAAGACTGGAAACAGAGGCAAGATCGGACGTGTGGCAAGTCACCTTACCTCAGTAAGTAAATCTAGTCGCTACAGAAACTCCAACGCACACCTGAAATATAAAAACAAACTTATTCTCCTCTAGAAAAGGATGGGAGGACTGATGTGGGTCGATGAAAGCCTTCTAGGAGCTAGTCAGCCGATGTGTTCTTTCTATGAAAGCCAAAATAAGCTTTGGGTCATGGGATGCTTGCAAATAGTACGAGGCTGGGAAGGTGCCAAAGGAATGAGAAGATATGGCATTGGAGTCTGTGAGAGCAGGTGGGACGGATAAGAACTTTGCAATTTGTCAACTTCAGAGTCAACAATTTGCTCCGATCACTCAGTCGAGAAGTTCTTGTCGGAATGAATAAGAACGGAGAACTCTTCGCAGACTTCTGCGCGTTCAATGATTTGGTTAGCATAGGCGGTGTGTACAAACTCAAAGATATAAACAAGGCAACAAGAATTTCGCCAGGCGGATACATCACAAACCAGAAAGATTTCATCTGAATGCTGCTTAAGAAAGTGGAGACGCAGCCAGCCTGCTGGACACAAAGTCAAGAAGGGGAGCAGATGTGGACTGAGACCACTATCCAGCTCAAGAAACCTTCAAACTGAACCTAAAGGCCTTCAGAATTACTGAGGGTAGACCACATTTTAAGGGTAGCACTAAGAAAGTGAAAGATGAAAGACTGAAATAGACCTCCTTTTTATTTATTAGAGCACAGTTGGAGACACTACGCGGTACCACCGAGGGAGCCTGCATGGAAAAACACGGGAACTCCATGGAGGTGATGAACTGGGAGGTGTGTACAACCGCGCTAGGGAGAAAGGAGAGACAAGACAAAGAATGACTGTCAGTGGACACCTGGAAGCTATTCGAGTCGAGGAGAGGAGGGTGGTGAAAGAGAAGATGGCTCAACGCAATGACGGACAAGAGAATGAGGAACTAAGTTCAGTGTACACTGCACTGAATAAAGAAGTGAAGAAGAGTGCTAGAAAAGACAAAAGACATTGGCCAGCAACTGAAGCGGAACAAACAGGCCACAGGTAAAAGAGACATCATAAGACTTTATTGGTTAACCAGGTCTCTATCTAGGAAGAAATCAACGCAGATTAAACCGATGAAATATAGTGACGGGAACCTATTTGTCCAGGGGACGAAGCAAATAAAATAATGGGATGATCATTCCCAAGGACTCTTGAATCAACCATCACCTGTATTTCCACCAGGAATAAGAGAAACAAGAGGCAAAGAACTATCACTAGACCTTTATTCTCCAACAATAGCAAAGTCTTGAGTGCAGTCAAGCTACTGAAATTCAACTGAGAAGGCAGCATTACCAGACGAAACTCCTCATGGAGCAGTGGAAACGGATCCAGAGGCTCTGGTGGACATCCTCACGCCACCACTACAAGAAGTTAGGAAGTCAGGAAACATACTTACTGATTGTACGACCCAGGCCTTTGCAAAACTGTCGCAGAATCATTTTCCCGTTCACCGCAAACAAAGTATTAAGTCGCGTAATCCTAGAGGGAGTAGATGTGCTGAACGCAGAACTCTGTCCGGAGCAAGCTGGATTGAGAAAAGGTAAATAATGTTCGGATCAAATCGAAACTGTACGCATCATCAACGGATAGACTACAGAATAGCAGTTAAATCTCCACCTCAGCTTTATCCACTTTTAAGGAGTCTTCGACAGCATCTACCGCTAGGTAATTTGGAAAAAGATTTAAACACTATGGCGTGCCTCACATATTCATCAACCTTACTCGACAACTGTATGACCACGGAACTTATCAGGTGTTCCACAGTGGAAAACTGTGAAGATCCTTCGAAATAAGGACAAGACTGCCTGCTATCACTGATAGAATTCCTGATTGTGGTACACTGGATTATCCGGCAGACTGTGAGGAGCGACAGGACGGGAGTCCGTTGGACCGACAAGAGTAAACTTGGTCTTCGTTTTATGTCTCATATTAAATAAGCTCGAAGATCTAAAAGAGAAAGCGGGCGACTTAGTGGAAGACAGCGAAAAGGGACCGTAGAAAAGACGAAGGTGATTGAGAAATCTAACAAACAAAAAGCACCAACGGTTATCAACAGAAGGAATTTGAAAGAGGTCACCTCCTTCATCTTCTAGTTGGCATCCTTGCAACCACATGCAGAACGGATAAGAGTGTTTTCAAGGATGACGAGCACTGAGTGGACATTCAATGGACTTGTTTACTTGAACCGGTTCCCTGTTCGTTGGGGACAACAGCCCCTGTCGTGGCTTTGACGTCTGCCCGTTCATAGAAGACCGGAGCAATACGATCAGAAGTACTGAAGCATATCATAATGACGTTATTTGCAGCCAGTTTAAATGTATTAATAGTGACCAACTGTGGGTCACATGGCCAAGCTGATGTGCAATTATCTAGCTATGCTGGCTTATACTTGGTTGGCCACTAAACCTTTTACTTACCATCCATCTTATAACACTGCTGACGATGATATCGAGTTGGTTATTATGTACGTAAAACAGTATTCTGAGTTCCCGAGAGCCATCTTCTGGCTACAGTATATTTTCCTGATATCGGTATTGACAGGATAGTTATAGGGGATGCCACCTTCAGTAATATCACCCTGTAACATCTCTTTCACTTGTCTTTCATTCATCTCTCAGCTTCGCCTTCTAAATGATATGGGACTCTTCGCGTTGTGAATGGTGTCATTTTCTGACCAGTTTGTTGGACTTCAAGATTTGTCACCTTCACCGCCGAGGTCCCACAAGAAGCTGCTTATGTCTCCTTATCTGAGAGGTGCAGGCCATGAGAACTTCATTGTCTGGGCGACACCAACTGTAAAAGAAGAAGACAAGAGACTTGGCAACGGACTCATTTATTGAGGATAAACACACCACGTTCATACGTTTGTAGCCACATTTTTGGTTGTCTAGGCCAGCGGATAACGAACGGTACTGATTGGTCGCTGATTTCTTGAAGATTAAACTTTGAGATTGTTCGCTGACCACAACGTAAGGTAGATTTAGGTTTGAGGAATAAGCGCTACGAATTTTGTAGCCGTTAATTTTAAATGTTGTTTTCAATTTTGTCTACTTCCTATAAATATGCGTCTACAT